GGCCGGTGCAGCCCGCAGCGCACTGCTCGTGGCAGCAGTCCGTCGGCTTCGTGCCCTTGCAGCGTGGGCACCCGTGGCAGATGCTGTTGGTCACTGGGGGGGGGGAAAGGGGGAGTCAAAATGGCATGGGGATCCCTCCCCCAAAGGGATAGAGTCTGGGGAGAGGGGCAAGGAGCTGTGGGATAGGTGGCATTCCAAAGGTGTATAGGGAAGGGATTCTGGGCATCTATGGAGAGGGGTTTGGGGACAAGGGGAGGTCTGCAGCATGGTGATTGAGGGGCACAAGTGGAGGCACCCAGAGCAGGGATCTGTGTGCTACATGGGCTGAATGGAGCAGGGATATGGGAGTGCCCAAGGGTTTGGGGGGTTTCTATGGGGTGGGGGCCCAGGCAGCCCCATACTCACAGGTCTGGCAATCCTGCGGGCTCTCGCCCCAGCAGTGCCCCTCAGCACACAGTGCCCTGCAGTCGGGACCTGCAGGGGGATGGATGGCATCAATAGGGAGCATCCCCCAACCCACCCACCTCTCAGCCCCCCCATGCCCCCTCCCCAGCCCTTGGGCTGCTCACAGGTCCTGCTGCGGGTGCTCTCCACGCGGGTCTCACTGCGCAGCTCGTTGTGCCGGTGGAAGATGTCGGCCCAGAGGATGGTCTCCTGGAAGCAGAGCTGGGGGTTCCCCTCAATGTGTACCCCCCCCTTCAGGATCTCTGCATGGGGGGGACAAGAGCTGCCATCAGCATGGGGGAATGGCCCCGTGGGGACACCCAGACTCACGCAGGGACTTGGAGTCCCCACCCAGAGACTAAAGAGGCTGGATAAAATCTGGGGAGGAGGTTTACTAGGAGTGTAGGGACAGACAATGGGGAATGATTTTAAGCTAAAAGAGATTTAGGTTCGACATCAGGAAGAAATTCATTACTATGAGGGCACAGAACAGCTGCAGGTTCCCAATCCCTGGCAGTGCTCAGGTGCAGCGTGGTGGGCACCAGGCTGTGGGAGGGGTCCCTGTGACATGGGGTGCTGATGGATGGATTTTGGGGTCTTCCAACCCAAACCACGCGGTGATTCTATACCCCAGCCCTACTCGTGGACCTGCAGCCCCCACGCAGGGACCCTCCATCCATCTCCTCCCCCCCTACGCCCCCTACCTGTGAGCTGCCGCATGCCGAGCTGCCGCAGCCCCACATTGCCCAGCACGGCCAACGCGTAGCGCTCCTGGAAGAGCTGCGTCCCACGGATGATGCGCAGCCCCTGCAGCCCCACGGCGCTCACATGGTTCTCAGCGATCAGCACGTAGCCCTGCACCTCCTTGATGTCCTGCGGTGGGGAGGGGGTTTAGCACGGCGGTGAGACCCCCGCGGTGCCCCCAGGACCCCCCCACCTCCTTCCCGGTGCCACGTGTCCCCAAATCCTCGCACCTTGAGGAAGGCGGTGTCGGCGCCGGGAGGCAGGTAGGTGAGCTCCAGGTTGCCCTGCACCACCTGGCAGCCCTGGTAGAGGTGCCGTAAGGTCTCGTAGTGGCTCTCGGGGCTGGAGGGCTGCAGCAGCTTCATGTCGGTGCCGGTGCACACTGCGGGGATGGATGGGGAGGAGGGGATGGGACGGGTCAGCCAAGGCCGGCCGTGCCATCGCCCCCGCGGGATCCGGCCGCAGGAAATGCTGCGGCCGCGGCTGCTGACGGTTATCTGCTCCCAAAAACTTCCGATGGGCTTCCGATGGGCTTCCTGCGCGGCCCCCGCACGTGGCGTGGGGACGAGGGACGCGGGATGCGCGGCGATGCGGACCCCCAGCTCCCACCGCAGCACGACCCCCAGCGTCGGCACGCAGCCACGACCCCCACCGCGTGCCCACGTCCGGCACTGGGCGGTCCCAAAGGCCGAACGCCGCCCCGGCCCCACAGCCCGCACCGAGCGCAGCCCGGGGGGCCCCGAGCGGGGCGGGGGCCGCGGAGCAGGAATGCTGTGCCCACGCCGCCGGGGAGGGGGGGGGGGGGGAGAGCCCAGACAACACGCGATTGTTGAGCGGCCCCGGATGGCCGCGTCCCATGGCCGCCTCACTCCGTCCCCGTCCCCCCCCCCAGCGCGTGGCGGTGGGTCCGGGAGGGGCGGGCCGGGGTGCGGTGAGTCACGGCGGTGGGGTGGCACGGCCCGGCCGCAGCGTCCCGCCGGGAACCGCCTTTTCAGGTCGGGCGTGTTTGGGGAGCGAGCGGGGTGACGCAGGCACGGCCCAGCCCCGGCACGCCCGCGGCCCCCGGCGCCCCACCGCCACGCGGGACGGCCCCCCAATGAGGGCTTTGGGGCTGGGGTCCCTCGAGACCCCCACGTGCCAAGGTGCCCCCCCTGCCTCTCCTTGAACGGGGTCACCGTGTTGTCCCCGATGTCTCCTCTCACCCCACGGGGTGGGGGCCGCGGTCGCCCCCCAACGCGACCCCACGGCTCCACCATCAGCACCTTGGAAGGGGACACTGAGGCAGGGGTTGGGTACGCTGCGCTCTGCCCTCCGTGCAGGGGGGGCCGCGCGGAGGCTGAGTGACAGCCCCCGGTGCCGGCAGCTGCCACGAGGCCATGGGACAACCCGGGCTGCAGCCGCCCCCCCCCCCCCCCCATCCCCGACCTCTGCCTGCTGCAGGGGCCACCGAGACGGGGAAACGGCCCCGAGCCTCCAGAACGGGAATCTCTGCCCCTGGGCACGGAGCTACCCGTGTGGACGGGGAGGTGGGGACTGCCAGGTGCCCCCACCCCGAAGGGAACGGCCCGCGGTGCTGTGCGGCCAAAGCTCAAGGTCTGCTCCACCTGCTGCGTGCGGGCAGGGGATGCCGACGGCGCTCCCAGGGCCGGAGGAAGGCGGTGGGGATGGATCCCAGTTCGGTTCCTCTGCCATCGCCCTCCCGGGGCTCGGGCTGCGCGTCACCCCCTGCCCTGGGGACAGCGCTGGGGACGTGCCACCACTCGGAGCTCCAGCTGCAGGGTGATGGGAGCAGCAGGGACCTACCGAGTCCCCGCTTTTTGCCCTGGGAACCCCACATCGGGGTCTCCGTGGGGATGGCGGTGAGGCGATGCCCGCCCCGTCCTCGCTCCGGCCGAGGCCCCGCGGCGCTGGGTCCTGCCCCGGCTGCTCCCGTCGGGCCGGGCAGGGTGCGGCACCTCGAGAATGTGGATGGGAGCGACCGGCGGGGACGCACCCGCCCGCCCACCCGCACCGTGCGGCACCGCCGCCGCCCCGGGGCCCCTCCGCGCCCCGAAACCATCTCCGCGGGACGGAGGGGGGGGAGTTGTCCCGGTGGTTGGGGGGCTCTCGTGGCTGTGTCACCGCACTCTTGTGATCTGTGGGACCCCTGCGAGCCATTCCATTCCACGCACCGCGGTGGGGACGGAGACGTCCTCATCTCGGGGTCCCTTGGGGGACACGGCACAGCGGCAGCTGCGAGCTCGCCCTCACCGGGGGGCACCGGGGGGGACAACGAGCGGTGCGGCCGCCCCCGGCCCCGCGCCTCCCGGCTCAGCCCAATCCCGCGTGGGAACGCCGAGAGGGAGGTGCTGCCCACGGCGGGGAGCCGGGGTGGGGGGGGGTGGGGGGGAGAAATCAGCGGGGCGGGGGGGGTCACTTTCAACCGCAAAGCCCCAGCAGCCCCCCGGCCCCGCTACCCCGACCCCTCCACTCTCCGCACAACTCCGCACCGAGTCCCGCCGCCGCCCCCCGCGCCCCCGCTGCCCGTCGGGGCGGACCCACCTTCGGCGGCGGCGGCGGGGCAGAGCGCGGCGAGCAGCAGCAGCAGCAGCGCGGGGCAGAGCGGGCGGCCGCGGGCGGCGATCATGGTGCTCAGCGCGGGCCGCGGCCCATGGCCCCGCGCCGGCCGCTCCGGGAAAGTTTGCGGTGCGGTTCCGCCGCCTCCCGCCGCGCTCCCGGGCTCCACCTCGCGGGGACGCGCAGCGTTCCTGGGAGCGGGGAAAAGGGCGCGCCGCGCGCTCCCGCCCACCCCGCGCGCTCCCGAGCACCGGAGGCACCGGGCGGCGTCGGGTCACCGTCCGTCCCGGCGGCACCGGGATCAGCGGCGGAGCTCCGCCCGGCGGCACCGAACTCGGACATCGCGGGTCCCGGGCGGCACCGGAACCACCGGGCGGCTTCGGGCGCTCCGTCCCGGGAGCAGCGGTGCCCTCCGACACCGGCAGCGCCGAGCCGGGCGTACCGGGCACGGGGATCCCGCCGCACCGGGACTCCCGGCTGCTCTCGGTCACCCATCCCGGCAGCACCGGGCTTTCCAGTCTCGGTCGCTCCGCGCACCGGGGGTCCTGGAGGGGGGGTGGGTGTGCAGAACAGAGCCGCCCTCGTGAGCTCCGTCTCGGGGCTCCGCCGACGTGGGAGCTCCACGACGGGCACTGCGAGGCGCCGGGGCACCGCAGCTCCCGGGCTGCCCGGCTGCAGGGCGCGACCCCCGGCCCCACGCGCGGTGCGGCGGCACAGGGCCGGACCTGAGGCAGCCCTGGACCTCGCGGCCTCCGCCCCCCGCCGCACCGCTCCTCTCCGCACTGAGCTGAGACCACCGGCTGCCCTCCGGTACCCCCACACCGGGCCTGGGCCCCTCGAGGCCTCCGACGCCCCCCGGCACCACGGGGGGATATATCCCGTGAGCCTCTGCGGAGAGCGCCGAAGGAGGGGGGGAGAATATCCCATGATCCTCCTCGCTCTGGAGGACCGCAGCCCTCCCGTGATGCCCGCGGCCAGCGGGGGCGCTATATCCCGTGGTGCCCCGCGCCGACCCACTTCCGGGGCGGGCCGGAAGCCGCGCCGGGCGGCGATGGCGGGCGGCGGGGCGGCGCGGGCCGCGCTGCTGCTGTTGCTGGGAGCGGCGACGGCGCCGGGCCCGGCCCGCGGCTCTCAGGGCGACCGGGAGCCGCTGTACCGCGAGTGCCTGGGCCGCTGCGAGCGGCGGAACTGCTCGGGGGCGGCGCTGCGGCACTTCCGCGCCCGGCAGCCGCTCTACATGGGCCTCACAGGTACCGCCCCGCTGCCCGCCCATTGGCTGCGGAGCCCGGAGACCCCGCCCCTTCCGGGCCACGCCCACGTGGTGACCACGCCCACGTGTCGCGCAGGCTCCTCCTCTGCACGTGGAGGCGGGGCAGAACTGGGAGCACTGGGATATACTGGGAGCTCTGGGCCGTAGTGGGTGGGGGCTGAGAGGTGACTGGGCAGGTAGTTCTGTGCTGGGGAGCACCGGGCCGTGGTGAGACTGGACTGGGGGGGTCACTGGTTCCTGAGTGGGACCATACTGGGAGCACTGGGATGGACGGGGAGGCACTGGGCCATGCTGGGGTCAGGTTGGAAGGTTGCTGGTCTATTCCGGGGGAACACTGAGCCATACTGGAGCATGCAGAGCTGTGCTGGGAGGCACAGTGCCATAATGGGGGGTATTGGGATGTACTGGGGAGGTGCTGCACCCCACTGGGCCGTCCTGGAAGGGGCACTGGGCTGTACTGGGGAAACTTAGAGCCATCCTGGACGCTTCTCCTTGGCCATGGCAAATGGGTGTCCTGACGCCCACTGGCCTGACAAGGGACTGGAGGGGGTGCAGGGAGGAGGGACACCCTGAGCTCCACCCTGGGACCCTCCGCTCCCCATCCCCAGGCTGGACGTGCCACGATGACTGCAAGTATGAGTGCATGTGGCACACAGTGCGGCTCTACGTGCAGGGCGGCCGCCGCGTGCCGCAGTTCCATGGCAAGGTGAGCACAAAGGGAGGGGGGGAGGTGGGGTTCCCTGTGTCCCCTCCATCCAGCTGACCCTCCCCTCCCCCCGTCCCCTCGCAGTGGCCCTTCTCCCGGTTCCTCTTTGTCCAGGAGCCAGCCTCTGCCTTCGCCTCCCTCCTCAACGGCCTGGCCAGCTTCCTGATGCTGCTGCGCTACAAAGCTGCCGTGCCCCCCACCTCCCCCATGTACCCCACCTGCGTCGCCTTTGCTTGGGTAAGTCCTCCCCTCGGGGCATTGGGGACATGCAGAAGCCACCACTGTGGTGACCTTGCCTGCAACACCACTCTGTGCTCTCCACAGGTCTCTGTCAATGCCTGGTTCTGGTCTACCGTCTTCCACACGCGGGACACGGCTCTGACAGAGGTGAGGGTCCCCATCCCCACCTTGTGGGGGGCACTGGGCACATCCCCGGGGTCTGAGCCCCTGGCCCCACTCCTGCCCTGCAGAAACTCGACTACTTCTGCGCCTCAGCCGTTGTCCTGCACTCCGTGTACCTGTGCTGGGTCAGGTGAGCACAGTCCCAGCGCTGGGGACAACGCTGTCCCTGGGGCTGGGTTTGTGTCACTGCTGTCCTCCTGTCCACAGGACAATGGGGCTGCGGCGGCCGGCCTTAATTGGCATCTTCAGAGCCTTCCTCCTCCTCTTCCTCGCCTGCCACATCTCCTACCTGACGCTCGTCCGCTTTGACTACGGCTACAACATGGCTGCAAATGTGGCCATCGGTGAGAGCTGGGGCAGTGGGTCCAGGAGGAACAGTGGGATCAGAGTAGGGGCTGAGGGGACACAGTGGGACCAGGCTGGAGGATGTGGGGACACAGTGAGATGAGAGTGAGGCCTATGGGGACACGATGGGTGTGGGCCATCGTGCTCCCATCCCACTGCCCCCTTCTTTTCCTCCTTAGGGCTCCTCAACCTGCTGTGGTGGCTGTGGTGGTGCCTGCGGAACCGCCCCCGCCTGCCCCACGTCTGGAAGTGTGCAGTGGTGGTGCTGCTGCTGCAGGCGGGGGCTCTGCTCGAGCTCCTTGACTTCCCTCCTCTCTTCTGGGTGCTGGACGCCCACGCCCTCTGGCACATCAGCACCGTGCCCCTCAACATCCTCTTTTACAGGTGAGGGCCATGCTTGAAATCGGGCTGCTGGGGGCCTTTTCCTTCAGTATGGGGTGTTCGTTGCTCCACTCTTGAAATTGAGTTGCTTGGAGGCCCCTCTTTTGTCCTTGAAGTACTGTGTCCCCTGTCTTGAAATGGGGGTGCTCAGAGCCTCCTCTCCTGCTCATTGGTGCTGGGGGTGCTCCAGGGTCTGGCTGGGCTCCAGCGGCCTTTGGGCCCCCCTTGTGCCCCCATCTCCTGCCCCCAGTGGATCAACCTGCGCCCCCCAGCCCTCCCTTTCCTCCCCACAGCTTCCTGGTGGATGACAGCCTCTACCTCCTGAAGGCCAACTCGGACCTCTCCAAAGTGGACTAGAGCAGCAGGGGGGGATGAAACACTGCATGCCCCCCCAGGGCCCTGCCCCTACATGTGCCAAACAAATTCCTCCCTCCCCCTCCCCATACCCCCTGGCCGTGGACTCCCTCTTCCCCCTGCCTTCTGAGATGTGCTTTCCTTTCTATCACTCTGTCCTGTGTGGGGGCCGAGAGCCCCTCTCTGGGAGAAGTTGGGGGGACTGGACCCCCTTGGCTGCTGATGCTGAGCCAATTTCTCCTGCTGTGGATCCCGTGAGGTGGCAGTGGCTGCTTTGGCTGCGCTGCTACCAGGTGTGGGGGGGGAAATGTGGGTGTCTGGGGGAGGCTGAGCACAGAAGGGGTCCCCTGGAGGGGTGTGATATGGTGCCTGGGTATGCTGGTGCCTGGGGGACGGGGGAGGGATGCTGCCTTGCCCAGCCCTGCTTGCTGCTGGGTGGCTTTTTGGTGGAGGGGGGACAGTGCAATGTGTGGGGTCAGAGCGGTGCCTTGGGGTGGGGGGGTGACCCCTGTGCAGCCCTTGGGGAGCGCCCTGGGGCTGTGCCCCCCACCCAGCAGGGTGCAGCCCCCCAGCAGGGTGTGCCCTGTGCTGTGAATAAAGCTGGAATTCAATCTGTACTCTGTGCCCCCCATCCTGCTCTGCCCCCCCCCCCCGCTCTATGGGCACTGCACACCCAGCCCCACTGTGCTCCCGTCTCCCCACCCACACCACCCCTGCCCACCCCATGGAGCACCCACCCACCCTGCAGCCCCCACACCCTATTTCCCACCCTTCTGTCCTCACTCTCCTCTCTTGGCACATCCTTTAAATGCCCCTGCTCCCCCCCCTCAAGATGCAGTGACCCCCATTTCCCTCATCCCCATTTTACCCCCCAACCTGCACAGCCCCCAGACCCCCATGCCTCCCCAAGGCCGTGCCGTGCTCAGCTCAGGCTTTATTATGGGATGCAATGGGGATGGAATGACGGGACTTGGGAGCACAGCGTCTGCCTTTTTGAGGGTGGGAAGCAGGGAGGGGGGGCTCAGCCTTCCAGTGGTTTCTGTGCATGGACAAAAAACACCCCATCAACATCATCCACACCGGTGCGCAGCGCGGGGGGCATGGCATAGGAACGGAAATCACGGAGGGTGAACCCAGCATCACTCAGAGCTCCACGGACATCATCCTCATCCAGCGGCACCACGGGCAGCCGCGCAGCACCCGCCAGGTAGAAGGACTCCCCCAGAGCCCCCAGCAGCAACGCGTGGCCCCCCGGGCGCAGCATTGAGCCAACATTCACCAGCGCTCGCCCAAAGGCTGCGCGGTCGGGGCTGACGGCCTCCAGGCAGAAGGTGGAGAGCAGAGCATCAGCAGGAGGGTGCAGTGGGGCACCCAGTGGGTCTGCACGGTGCACATCGATGGGGAGGATGCGCCGCAGGCGGCCCCGCAACCGCTGCTCCTTCTCCTGCCAGGGCTCCCTGTGGGTAGCGGGTGGCATTGGGGTGGAGCAGAGGGAAGAGGGAGGGGGGGAGGAGAGCTGTGGGGGATATGTGGGGTTGGGGTCCTGCAGGGAGCGACCTGGCACCAACAGGGGTTTGGGGTTGGGGTCCTGCAGCACAGCAGCCACGGGGATGAGGGGATGGGATCCCATAGCAATCAGCCTGATATCTGCAGGGATATTAGGACAGGATCCTACAGGGATCAGGGCAGTGTCTGTGGGGATGGGACCCTGGGGAGATACAGGGGTGGGATCTCATAGCAATCGGCCCAGCATCAGCAGGGTTATGGGGATGAGATCCTGCAGGGTTCAGCACAACATCTGCAGGGATGTGGAGATGGAATCCCAAAGGAGTCAGCCTGGCATGAGCGGAGACACAGGGCTGTGGGGACACAGCATTGGGATCCTATAGGAACCAGCACAGTGCTCAGAGGGTCCTGGGGATGGGATCCCAAAAGAATCCTGCCGGGATCAGCACTATGGGCTGTGGGACCACGACTGCAGCGGGTCTCAGCCCCCAGCCCACAAATCCAAGGGGCCACGATCTGCAGGGACGTGGCATGAAGCTCCATGGGGATTTGGGACCACGATCCCACGGGGATTTGGGGCCAGCATTCCACAGGAGCACAATGTGCCCCCCACCCCACCCCACCCCTCCTGCCCTACCCGCGCCCCTCGATCTTGCAGACGTGCTGGATGAAGGGGCTCCAGTCGAAAGCTCCAGGTTCACCCCGCACCCAACGCCGCAGCTCCTCCCGGTTCACCTCCAGGAAATCGGTGGCCACGATCTCCTCGAAGTGCTCGCAGGCGCTCAGCAGCTGATAGATGGTGGGACCTGAGCCCACGTCGATGAGCGTGCGCCCACAGATCTCACCTGGGGTTGGGGAAGGGAGGGGGGGGGTCCCACTGTGAGTCACGGGATGGGGGGAGCCGGGCAGGATGCTCTGTGCCCCCCACCCCGTGCCTCAGTTTCCCCACCGCTGGCGAAGGTCTCGGCCAAACATCTCAGCTTCCAGGGCACCACGCATTCCTCGGAGGAGAAGTCGGCGCGGGGGGGCACGTAGTTGTTCTGCAGGTAGGCGTGGGGGTCAAAGCGTGCGTAGCCCTCCCGGATGGCATCCAGGCTGCTCATGGCGGGGTCTGCGCTGTGCCGATGCTGCCTCTCATTTATAGCCCCGATAACCGGGGGCGGGGGGGGGCACGGTGAGTTATGGCAGCGGCTGCTCGGCGCTGATTGCAGCCATCCATCGTGGATAACCAGGTTAATGTCAGCGCCCGCGGCCGGAGCCGGCCCCGCTGTGCCCACCCCCCCCCACACATACACCCCTCCCCATGGGGGGGCTGCAGCCCACAGGGTTGTGTCAGCACCGGGGGTGTCCCAGCAACAAAGTGGGAGCATGACCACCACAAAGGGGCTGCTCTGAACCTTGTTTGTGGCATAAGGTTGGGATGGGGCTGGGAACGGAGGTGGGGACAGGAATGGGGATGAGGACTGGGAGAAGGAAGGCAATGAGATAAGGACAGTGATGGGGTCCAGGCGCTTCCTTGTGAAGCTAACACTGCTGAGCTGTGATGGACCTCAGCCCCTGGTAGGATCCGGCCCACCAAACCCTCCAGCTCCTGATGCACTCATTGCACCCAGCAGCCTGGGACGTGGGGCGGTGCTGCTTGTGGGGCTGGGCGAGGGAAGGGGTGAAGGCGGTGAAGCCCTACAGGCAGCGAGTGGGGATGGATGGGGATGGGAAGGGGATGGACGCAGGGCCTGGCAGTGGCCCAGGGACAGCAGGATCCATCCGGGAGGGAACAGCTAATCTGGGCGCTGACACCAGGGCCATCCAGAACCCTGGCATGGGCTGGTAAGGGTGGGGGGGCACAGTTATATAAGAGATCTGCCCCCATTCCCCCCACCCGCTCACCCGCATCCCACAGCGATGGGCTGTGCCTCAGTTTCCCCAATTCCCCACAGGGTCCCACAGGGCCAGAAGGGGACAAATGGAGAGGCACAGCCCCACGGACAGTCCAATGCTCTAGGGCTGATCCAGGTCTGGCACCCCGCACTCAAACCACCACTGTTGGAACCACAGAGCCAAGCTGCACCTTTTATTGCAATACAAAGAAATTCACATCTGTACAAAACAACACAACACTGCTGTGTCTCCCAGCCCCTGCCCCGGGGGGGGCTCAGCACACCTCATCCTCGCTCCCTTCTCTCTGCCAGGGACACAGCATCGCGTCTGCGCCCCGTCCCCACCGACCTCTGCTGCCCACTGCAGGGTGAGCGCCCACCCCCACGTCCCCCCACCTTCCTCCACCATCTTCGGGGGCTGCGGTGAGCAATGCAGCTCAAGACCCCCCCGCCGCCGCCCCCCAACCTCATCCCGCGCCCCGAGACCCCCACCCACTGCCTTCAGCCCCTCTGGGCTTCGTGGGAGAGGGAACGGGAGAGGGTCCGTCGGAGCCCCGGCTTGGATCCGCGCAGGTCTGGGGGGGCGAAGAGGGGCAGCGGGAGGGTGCGGGCGTAAGGCAGGAGGTGCTGGGCCAGGGGCTGCCCCAGGAAGCCGACCCGCAGCACGCCCCACGGTGAGCGCTGCGTCAGCACCCGCGTCTCCCCGCGTTGCTCCAGCGACTCGCGGCGCTGCCGGTCCTCCTCCCGCCGGCACCACCTGCACACGGGGAGCTCGTGGGGCGGCTGTAGAGATCCCCGTCCCACCCTGCCCCATGGGGACACTTGGAGACCCCCATGGTTTCCCCAAACCCTCGGAGACCCCCATGGCTTCCCAAACCCTCGAGCGCCGTTGGAGACCCTTCTGTCCCATCCCACCTCATGGGGACCCACTGACATCCCCGTGTTCCCCATGGATACTTCAGAACCCCCACCATTCTCTATTCACCTTCACGAAGACTCTTGGAACCTCCCCCCTCGACCCAGGACCTTCACAACCATATGGGAACCTCAGAGACCCCCACCCACAACCCTGATCACTGCTCAGACACCACCTGCCTCCACAAGACCCCCAGTTCCCCACAGTGTCTCCCACAGCTCCGCAGGGACCCCAGCACATCACACATCCACCCAACCTCCTCCATCCCCATGCAGACACCCCACAGGAACCCCAAAGATCCTCCCAGTCCCACGGGGAACACGTGGCACCCCCCAAGAGCTCCCCCATGATCTGATCTCCCTCAGCCCCAACGCCCTGTGGGGACCCCACAACCCTCGGGGACCCCGAGCTCCCAGACCCCCAGTGGTGCTGCTCACCCCTCCTCAGGCCGGGTGCTGAGCTCCAGGTCCAACCACTCAGCACTGAAGGACTCTCGGCGCCCCGTGTCCTCCTCCTGCACACGGCAGCCCAGGTGGGCACTGCAGAGCAGCCCCCCGCTGCGTACCACCGTGCTCGGCCCCCACATCCTCACAGCACTCCCAGTGGTGGCTTCTGCTGCCCCGCGTCCGCCCTCCCCGCTTTTATGGCCCCACTGAGGCTATTTTGGGACGTGTCTCTGGCACCGAGGGGACAGGAGGTTGCCAAGGGGCAAGCAGCAGGAGGTGGCATTGAGGGACATGTGCGTCACCTCGTGTGCGCCCGCCACGCTCAGCCCTGTGTGCCCCATGACGTGTCCTCAATGGGATGTGCCCCCCCCTCCCCACCCCCCGCCCCCCCCTTGTGAATATGATGGACCCAAGAGGTGACAAAGGTTCTGTGGATGACTGTCACCAGCGTGGTGTCTGCGTCACCCAGTGCCACTCCACGCCAAACCCAGTGCTACCCCTGTAGGACCACCAGGATCCCATCCTGCTGTGCCCCCCCCCCGCTGTGCTGTGCCATGAGGGCTGGCAGTGGGGTGCTGGCTGAGGGCCCCCCCCCCGCTGGGCTATTTGTAGGGCGAACAGATGGGGGCTGTGGACAGATAGGCACTTGCAGGGTGCCAGCGGGCACAGCTCAGAGGGCCGGGCCCTGGGGACAGGCTGAGGGGGGGGCACTGCCCTGCAGCCCCTTCCGTGGAACAGAGCTGCCACTGGGACTCCTGGGCAGAACTGGAGGCCTTTGGGACACACAGCCAGAGCCCCGTGTGGGGGATGGAAGGATGCTTCATGCCCCTGAAGGGCAGGGGATGGTGACCCCTGTGGCCAGTGGGCTTGCAGGAGCCCTGGGCACATTCCTTTTGCCTGCCCCCCTCTCTCTCCCCCCCCCAGGCAAGCACTCCTCCTGCTTTTATTCGATCGAGTTACAAAGGGCACAAGGAAAGCAGCGGGCTGCAAATAGTGCAAGGCTCTTTATTTTGACAGATGCCAGCCAGAGGTGCCCCCCGGTACCAACAGGGGCACCAGGACAAGCACTGGTAAAGGGGCAGAGACCCCAGGTCCAGCCCCTGGGGGGGTTCCACGGGCACTTCCCCCCTCTCCCTCCCTACTGCTGGCACCCACGCCTGGGCAGCTCCACGCTGCTTCCCATGACAGAGCAGAACGTGGCAGCAGTGCAGGTAGCACGAAGCTGTACTCGCCCCCACAGCCCCTGGGGAAGGTGGAAGGCTCTGATCCCACACCTGCAGGGCTGTATGCTGGGGGGCTAAACGAGCTCAGGAACATCCCACAGTGGGGGGCAGCCGCAGGGGAGTGCCCCGAGGGTCCCCACAGCAGCCCCCCACGCAGGGGAAGGTGCCCATGAGCCACACAGGAGCTGTGCTTTGTCCCCATGTGTGAGTGGCACGTGACAGGGGACATGTGAGAACTACGTGCTCACCCTGAGTGGCTTTCTCCTCTGAAACCCTCACCCTCAGCACAGCAGCCTGGGGGTGCCAATAAGCCCCCAGACTCAATGTGGGGGGGAGACCAAGCACAGGGCAGCTCCCAGCTGCAGGGCAGAGCAGGACGGGGGTTTGGCACACACCACAAGGCAGCTCCAGGGCTCCGGTTCGGCGGGGAAGGAGAGGAGCAGCCCCCCCTGCCTGCCCACATCCAGTCCAGCAGGGGCAGAGCACGGTGCTCAGGGCTTGCTGCAGAGCTCACTGACCCGCTGCCGCAGGTGGAAGGCAAACTCAAACATGGTGGCTGCCAGGCTCTGGTGGATGAGGTACCGGGGCAGGCGACCCTGCGAGGAGAGCAGAGGAAACAGTACATGAGTGAGGGTGGCAGTGCAATGAGCGCAGCAAGCCAGAGGAAGGTGGAAAACCCCTGCAGAACCCCCACTCTGGGTGCCCATAAGGTGTGGGGATGGCCCCCTCCAGCTTGGGGCTGCACACCGCAGCGGGGAGCTGCTGCTCTCAGGGAGTTGAATCTGGGGGAGGAACTGAACCACGTTTTGATTTCCCTAAAAAGCCCTGCACGACTCAACCCGCACCGCCTCGGCCCGTGCTCCATTATCTCGTAAGAAAATCAGCCCAGGCTCTGCGGGGGAAGGCAGCAGCACTGGGCTGGGAGCGGGGCAGGTGCTGAAGTGCAGAGAGGGAGGAGGGGGCCACGTCCCCCTGCCCAGGGCACAGGAAAAGCCCCATGGATGTGGGGAAGGGCTCCTGCAGCCCCCACTGCAGGGCTTTTCCACAGAGCAGGCTTTCCCTCCACCCTTTGGGGCTGGGACAGCACCCGGCTGTGCGTCCGGGGCCATTTTGGGCACCTCTCCAAATTGAGCTGTGGGGCAAAGTGCCAGCACAGACACAAACACACACACACACACACACACACACGTGTGCAACCCTTGCCCTTCGCTGGAGGAAGGGATGAGCCATGGGCTATAAATACCCCGTCAGGGCCAAAGGAAATACCAAGGCAGCACCGACGAGGAGTCTGAGCAGCAGCAGAGCCCTTCAGGAAGATGGTGGAAGCATTATTAATAGCTCGGCTGCTCTGGCATTTCTTCCAGCAGCAGCAGGAGAGCACTCCAAGTCCTGGGAAGCACAGAGGGGGGACCTCCTCTTTCCCAGCTCAGTTGTGCAAGATGGAGCTGATTTCCCTCCACCACTACAGAGGGAGGGAAGAGGTGGAGGAGACATCTGCACGAAGGAAAAGCACCTCCAGCACCAGCCCTGTGCCAAGCAGAGCCAGGGGCAGCGGGGCCGGGCACAGCCGTGCCATGTCCCAGCCAAGGAGCTGCCAAGAGAATCGCTTCCATGAAGCCTTTTCAGAGCCCAATCCAAGAAGCACAGTAGCTGAGCTGCTCCGTGGGAGGGAAGGGCTGTGGGAGGGGAGGGGGCCGCGCAGCGTTGCAGCGCAGTGCTGATGAATGGAGCCTTTGTGCTCGCTGCTGCAGCGCCGTTTCCACACCAACCTTGGCGCGATTCAGCGCAGGAAGAAAACAGGGCAATGTCCCCCCCCTGCCCCTCCAGCTCCCTGCCTGCTGCCTTTGTCCCGGCCACCAGCAAGGACTCTGCATGCAGCTCCACAAATAGCTCCGGATTTGGGTCACGGCGCGGGGCTGAAGCGCTGCTCTCCGCATGCGGCCGCAGCCCCGCAGCTCCACGGGTGTCTGTGTTTGTGCCGAGGTGTCTGGGAGCAAGTGATTCATCCCTGCAGTAGGTTCCTGGGAGCAGCACGCAGCCAGGCAACACTTCCATGTCCAACTAATGTTGGTCTCCAAAGAGGATGAAATCACCTCTTCCCAGTCCCGCACAGAGCTGAAGCCCCGTAACCAAGACCTGTCAGGTAAGGAATGGTTTCCCAGATCTGCACTGGGAAAACTTCAGGGGGAAAGAGGGAGATTTCCAGGTGGTGATCAGGTTCTGTCTGCAAAACTCAGGTCCCACTACTGCAGCCTCCAAGAGCAGCCCAGAGCCGTGCCCAGGAGAGGCTTGCAGCAGTACAGCAGCCCCTGCACTGCCCAGTTGGAAGCACAGGGCAGGTCCTCAGCACCCGTCCTGCAATATATAGAGCTCTAGAAGCACACCAATGAGCTCTGCTGGGGTTGGGACACAGCCATGACACTCACACATCAGTGCTTTACCTTCAGGTCCGTGTTTAGAATCCAGATAAAAGTGCAGAGCCGGGGGTTGCTGGGGCACTTCAATACGATGAATCCTCCAGGTCCGTTCTCACCCCTTCAGGGAAATAACAGCACCAAATCAATGTGGGAAGGCCGTGGAGCTACTCCCCAATGCCCTGCTTGCACTGCATCGACCCCACATTGGCTCCTGCAGCCACAGCCCCTCACCTGACTGTGAGGACAGCAGCCCAGCGGGGCACAAGCAGATGCTCAGAGTGTCCAGGAAGGAATCTGGCTTGACTATGAGCACACGAGCAAACACAATTTGCCCAGCAGGTTTCCCACGGCAGCAGTGCTGGGGCTGCCACCAGGCTGCCTCCAGACTTCTGGCCTGGCCGACACTGGCACTGCACTGCTGGGAGGCTGCAGAGACACAGCACTGCAGAAATGGGTGCAAACAAGTGGGTCCCTGCAAAGCACCACACAGTCAGGCCAAGCTCAGCACACACCACTGTGTCTCTGCAGCCTTCCTCAAACCATCTGAGTGTCTCGGAGACGAGAGCTGTGCTTGCACACACAACCCAAATACAGATTTCCCTTCCCTGCTCAGGAACATGCACTATTTTTGCTGCATACATTTGTTAACAGATTTTTCTGGGCCCCGAAGTCCCCAGCTCTTAAATAGACTGAGGCAGCTATAACGTCTCTGAGTTAAAATGTCAATTACTTTAACCAGATTATTAGGAAAAACAAAGTCAGTGCGTGAAGTGGCACAGCTGGGCCCCAGGCAGCAGCACAGGCAGTAACAAGGAACCTTGTGTGATGAGACTAGCCCTGCTGAGATCCATCAGCAGCTGCGTGAAACCAGCCCTGTGGAAAGGGAGAGGCTGGGACCCCACTGGTGCTCTGGGACCTGTCCACCCCAACACAGCTCATTTCACCCCCAGAAACGTCCCTCGGTGCCTGCAGACTTTAAAGTCAGTAAGTGAGTGGCTTACGAGAAGCAAAAGGCATCCGAGAGGCTCACAGAAAGACATGGGCAGCTGCTCACTGCCCCTCCGAAATGGCAGCTGGCCCTGTTTGGGAATTGGCTGCTACACAAACAGGATGCAGAAGGGGTTGGGGTTTGGGCTGTTACTGTCGGCACCTCCGCTCCCCAGAGCAGAGCTGGGAAACGCCCGAGCAGCACTCAACAGCACAGAGCGTTTCTTTAACAAAGGAAGAAGAACAAGGGAAGCAAGGTTTGGTTCCACAAATAGATTAGCTTCCTGCAAACGGTGCCAGAAAGACAGCAGGGCTCTCATTTAAGTGGCTCTCTGCCCTAAGCTTAAGCAAAGCGTGTGTCAGATATCAGCTAAAAAAAATAAAAAAATAAAAAAATCTGCCTCTTACCTGACATACTTGGAGAGTGGAGGCTTCAGGCTGTGCGTGGTCGACATCCCTGAGGAAATGTACCTGTCTCTTCTTCTCTCGATCCGCCGCACGTTCACAAAATCCCTGAGCAAAGAAAGGGCAACGACAGCTTTGAAATGTGCGTGAGACTTTGAAGGAGCAGATCACATGCCTGGGGCTGCTGGGAAAGGCTGTGGCAGAGGTATGTCAACATATGGACAAAACACAGGCAGCAGGGAGACAGAGAGAGCGACTGGGACAGATTCTGAGCTATGAGACTCTTGCCAGAGGTGTCCGTAAGGGACTTGAGGGACTCCCTGCCTTAG